AGGGGGGCAGGGGCATGCTCCCCACTGCAGCATTGGCTGTGGGGACGAGGGCCGCAGAGCGGAGCCAGCAGGTAGTGACGGGCTGTGTGGCACCGTCCTGGGTTGCCCAGTGCTGAGCAGGGAGCGATCGCAAAGCAGAGCCCCGCGGGAGGTGTTGACGCCCGACGGGATGCCCCATGTCTGGGACACCGGAGCCGCCAAGGCAGCTGAATGTGCTGACAGTGCTAAGTGTCGGGGCTTGTGTTACCTCCTCCTCCAGCATGGGGACACAGCAAGGAACAGGGCTGTTATCAGCCTTACTAAGGCCAGGAGTGAGTGCAGGTGCGCTTCAGCCTTGGGCAGCCTGTGTTTGCGAACACGGAGCGCCTCCAGCCCTGGACTGGGTCAGAGCATATCACATATGGAATACTTCCCACTCTTGGGAAAAGCGTCAATAAATGCCTTAAAAGTGTAAATCTCCCCGTGCTGCTCTCAGAAGGAGCTGGCAGTGGCCTGTGCCTGGCACCGCTGAGCTCATGGGTGGCACCGATGCTGCGCTGGCGCCGATGCCACCCCGGTGCTGGCGGTGCTGACGTGGCTGCACGGTGGGTGCCGGTTTGCAGCACAGAGATGAGGGTGCAGCTTCGGGGAACAGCAGCCCGCTCCTGTTCGGAGGCAGGATGCAGGGGGAGATCCCGCAGAGCCACCATGTCCTTGTGCCTCAGAGCGGGGGACAATCTGTGGCAACTCTTGCAGGGGCTCTGGCACAGGCTGCAGTTGGTGTGGGGCAGGCTCACCGCAGACACAGCGGCACAGCCGCTGAGGTCTCTGCCCAGCAGCCCGGCACCAATGCCCTGCATGGGGCTGCTATGCCCGTGGGGTGCAGTGAGCGCCCGAGGAAATGCAAACTCCAAGCTCCGGCATTCCCAGGCCGTGATCCCGAAGGCTTCACCCGAGTTCCCACCCCGGCGCTCTCCCAGGCTGCGACTTTGCTCTTATTTGGTGATTCCCCGAGCTGGTGGGAGGGAACGGGGCTCTGCTGGGAAGTGACTGCATCCCGGGGTGGGGCCAGCGCCAGAGGCACTGGAGGCACCCGGCGGCCGCCAGGCCATGGGCACCCAGGGCGCCCAGCCCCAGTCCCATGGCCCCTCCGGTGTCCGGGTGCTGTGCAGGCCCACGGGCTGCTGTGCTGGGGCAATAGGAGAGTGCAGTGGGCACAAAAGCATCAGCAGAGTTCC